GGTAAAAAATTGCCCCTCAGAAAGTCCAGGTAGTACTGGTAGTACTTTTTCAAAGGTCCGGAACTTTCGGGGGCGGGACTTGAGCACTGAACATGCTAGTTCACGCATCATTTTTTTTTTTATATTACTGTTATTGTGTCATGAAATGTAGTTTTAAAAGTATTTCAGGCGAGAATGTAGTTGTTTAAAACTCAAATCTGCGGTTTAATTATAAAGACAGCGCCTATTTGAAAATGTGCTTCGCCGACTTCGGAGACGTGAGCTCCACGCGATCAGCGGGTGTTCAGTGCTTATGTATCCCGACGAGAGCAGCCTCACCTCGGCTAGTCCTTCTGACATTTACCGCTGGCTCTGATGTCTCTGTAGTGGTTAAACATGAGATATAATTCGTCTTGGGTAAATCTAAACAGGTAATCTTTGGTCTTTATTCTATTCATCTATTAATATGTTAAAATGTAAATGAAAACAGGCAATGTTTGATATAATATTTTGTTTCATTGTAATGTAGGCCATGTACGTTATCTGAACATTTCTGCAGCTATTAATATGTTTAAATGAAAACGAAAAGAGGCAGTGGTGTTTGATTTCATATTTCGTCTTATTGTAAATACAGTGAGGAAAATTGCAGCAGCCAAAGCGAGCTGACTGATGTTATCAAGTACGCTGCTGTTTGCAGGATTACCGGACTTGCGTCGTCCCGTCCGCGGGAGATCACACTCCTGAGTCGAACTCGCGAAGTCCGAACTACCGAGGAAGCAAGTCAGAAATTTGGTATTGAAACGCGCACAGACCTACATGACCAGACTATTTGCCTAATCTTCTCGGTACTTTAGACCGCGATGGAAACGCAGACAGCAACCGGTCTGGGGGGAAAAAAGTTCCTGGTACAATTGTTCCGGGTAATTTCGGTGGAAACGCGGCTTAAGATGATACCTGCTTTGTAAGAAGCATCATCTGAATTTCACTAGTGACATTAATTCAGTTCAAATCAAAGGCATACAAATCAATCTGCAAAAAAAATAAAATAAATTAACCACCCAAATGTAAAAATAAGGAACAAAATTTTATTATTTCAATAAAAATAAAAAATATGCAAAATATAGTTTTTAGTTTTTACAATTTTCTTCTTTTTTTTTTGCTTGTGGATTCTCCTCATATTAGTTAATTTTGGACCCTGTTCCCAGCATGCCTCAGTCCCTCAAGCCTGTTCATTTATACACCCACAGATTATGTATTTATTTATTTATTACAGATTTATTCGGAATGACCTGTATATGATACAGAACTTGTTAACCAGAAATATGAGTTTAAAGGAATAGTTCACCTAAAAATATAAATTCACTTCATCTTTGTTTATTTTATTTTATTTTTTTACAATTTTGATTTGATACGTCTAAAATGTTATATAAGTAAAAAATAGTCAAATATTTTCCTTGCACCTTATAAAGATGTGGGTTTTCAATACAGTTTTTTGGCATTTTATTTTATAAATAATAATAGAAGATTATCCTTTTGCATTTATACTTTCCATTTTTATTTTAATTTTGAGTAAATTTTAGTAATTTTGTGATGTGCTTTTCTCATTTTTATTAGTTTTTTTTTTATTATTATATTTAGGTTTAATTTATTTTTACTTTAGATTTGGTTCTTTTTAGTTTTCATTGATTTCCAGTTTTGATGAATGATAACCCTGACAAAAATGATATAGTTAAAAAAAATTGTATTAAATTAAAATAAAAATTTATAATCATATAGACTACAGTTTTGACACTTTTGTGTAATTTTTGTCAGGGTTATTATCATTCATTAAAACTATTATTGAAACACTTTTATATATATATATATATATAAAATATAAATATTATTTGAAAAAACTAATTTTTTCTAATTTTAATTTAGTTTAAATTGAAGCATTAACATTACTAACTGGAAATAAATAAAAACTAAATCTGAACTAAAAATTAATTAAACTTAAATATTTCTTTAAAAAATTATAAAAATGACAAAAAAATCACATAAAAATATTACTAAAATTAAACTAAAACTAAAAATTAAACAAATTAAAATTGAAAAAAAGCTAATTCAAAATATTACTTAAAAGAATACTCTAACATTGTATGTAAAAGAGCAGCTCTGACATTGTACAAAACATCTGATGTTGTGTTCAGTGGAAGAAAATAATATGAGGAGCATCAGAACAACATGAACTTGATTTTTTGTGTGAACTATTCCTTTAAAAGCGCTGAATCTGTGGCTGTGTGCACGTTCACTCGTCTGCATCACGCATGATCATGTGTAACCCATTGGCTGTGCTGCATGGCCCATGTGAAGTGTGCTGTTGTGCCCTGATTGCAGAGCATGCGTTGGTTTGCGGCTCCTGGCGGCCCCTGGTCCAGACCCAGGGCTCAGAGCGAGGGCCGCAGTGATATCATCAGCAGCTCGGCCAATCACAGGCAGCCCAGACTGAGCACTGATCTCACTCACACACGGCCGCACGCTGCTGTAAGTCAACACACGCATGTTGCATACTAGTTAGTTCTAGGAAGGGCCCTGTTCAAACTGTCGATTACCATAGAAAATCATTTTTAACCTGTCTATGTTTTTACATTTCATACCTTTTCCAATAAAATTTGAAATTTTTCAATCTAAAACATTATATAACAGTAAAAAGTAAAGAAATATTTTCCTTACACCTTAAATATATGTGGGTTTTCGTATCATAATCATTATTTACAAAGATGTCGTTAAGCATATTTTAATTAAAACTATAGCATTTATATAATTATTATAATTTATATAGTTTTATATATTTAAAAATATGTATAATTTGTTTAAAAATTATGAAACCTTATAAATATTTTATTTTTATAACTATTAATAAAAGATACTGCAATTATTTTCAAGAACAAGGAATTTTAATAATGATATATATATAATTTAAATTTGTAAAACATATAAATATATATAATACTATTATAAAACATATTTAAATAATTAAAAAAAATACTACAAAATACCTTTTTGAAGAACTTCAAAAAATTTTCAAAAAATAACATTTAGTTATTGCAGTTATTGACAAGTAACTGGCAGCATACAACACATCTGATTCCTTGATATTAGCTTAAAAATAATTTCAAATATTCCTTCTCAGAACCGAATTCATTACATACATACACAAACAAATTGTTCAGGAGGTTTGAATTTCTGCATTTCATCCCTTTTAAAACTGTTTCTGATTGAATGAAGCTTATGATGCTGCCTCATCATCGTCATCATCTTAGCACCATTTGCATCTCATTGCATCCCATCACCTTCATGTGATTGATGAATAACTGCATGAATCCCTCAGCTTGCATTTAACTCACTGACTGCAGCACTTCACATATTACACTGCTAGTTGCAAAGCAAATAAACTATCACTACTTTTATAATCAATAGAGTTGACTGCACTGGAAGTGTCCTATACGATACCCTTTCAGCTGATGAATATATAACTATAAATATATAGTTCATTGATTATATTATTTATTGAACTTTACATTAATTTAAATTTATTTAATTTTTAAAACTATTTTAAATTTTACATTTATTTCAAATTTATTTCTAATTTTTAAAGTTAACATTTTATATATATATATAAATTCTTAGATGACATGTTGCTTCAATGCTTCCAGTGTAGATCCACTGTTGTGGACAAAAAGACTGAATAAAGTAGCAGATGTACTTCATGGTTTCATTACAAGGGGGTGATAGAGTCCCTCAAAATACAGTATGTTGGCACAGAGAGGCAAACAAATGTAATAATAAATAATAAATGTACAGCTTGTTCAGAAGAAGTGAGCTGCCCTGTCGTGCAAAAATGTAAGGCTTGTGTAAGTAAATTGCTCAGTGCAAAGAAA